TCCTTTGCTCCTCTTTGGCTTCCAATAACACTTTCCTAGGGAAACCACAAGGGGATGGATAATTGGTCCTTTTCCCGAAGGCAAACATCTAAGCATTGTTGCTTTCACTTTGGGCTTTCCCGAGCCTCAAAGGCAGACTTTGGACGATTTCGATTGCACCCTGCACCCAGAACTCTGGATGCAAAGAGGGATGACTGAGAGTCGTTCTTCACTTCCAAGGCGGATTAGCCCAAACAAGTCCAACTTGCAGTTCGCCACTAAAATTGTATTCCTCCGGAGCGAGTTGAGGAAGAAACGCAATCACCATATGCCTGGGAGAAATCAAAATCTGTGAGGAGCCCCTCCCTGTTGGTGTCCGAACGATCTTGAGGATTGGGATTCCTATTTCTCGAGCGACGCCTTTCGTGCGCTCTTGGCGCTGCTTACCCGTAATATAGTCGAGTGGTCGAGAAAGATCCCAACTTCCCTCGGATTACCTGACATTCAGTCGGCTACTTTGGTCTTGCGGAGTGGGAGCCAAGGCATCACAATGGGGCCTTGATTCTTTTCAGGAGACGTCTTTTTATGTAGACTCGTCATTTTTGTGCTTCTTCTGATGAGATGATTTGACGCCTGCTTCTGTTCAATACAATCGGCACAAACGAAACAAACGGAGTGGACGATCGAGATCCACCACCCTGTATTCACTTGCAAGGATTCTAGCTGTACATAGCTCCCATCCCCAAACGGTGATGCTGAAAAATCGCTAGACAAACATGCCAATATGTATCTACGTATCTATGTATGTGGGCAACTTATAATAATTCATAATATACAATTTTGGAAAGGGGGCTTGGATGGCGTCGCAACCCCCCATGTGATATCGCCATAATTTGAACACACTATCCATCTATCTTGATTGAAAAGTACACGTCTTGCCTGCCCTTTCACCTTTGAAGCTTCTGAAGCAGAGGTTGGAGCATAGCCGAACATGTTAGCTACCATGATTAAACGCAGCAACTAAACCTGATTGACTCAAGATCTTTTTCAAACCCTACTACACCTGTTGGGCGCCCGACCAAACTCGCCCTCTTTGTTTTTTTTTTCAGAGCACTGGGAACCAAACGTGATTTGCCGCAGGTAGTCTTGCCAGATTAACAGGGTTCCCCATAACTAGGAAACATGCAAGTCGGTAGGTGTCAACATCGGGGTTTGAACAACATGGGCGGGTGTCCTTTTCCGAGGATTTACCTAAAGGCACCGAACAACTTTTCCGCGCCGTCGTAGATCTGATAGTGCTCCACAGTCTCTTCGTCCTCGTCCTCTTCCACCTGAACAACGAGGAGGAGGACGGGATGCAAAGCACATTGGATGTTCTCTTTAATTGTCTACTTCTAATTGGCGGCTTGGGTTGGCAGTTACCTGACTCCAAGCGCTACAAAGGGTAGACATCATGGGATTCTATGTTCGATAACCATTTCCTGGGTGTTAATAGAAAGCGAATTACGCCCACTTGCGAGTTGCTCAAAAACGCGGCGCCCTTACTTGTTTGTTCGGGGTTGAGCCGTGAATTCAACAAGCTCCTTATTTTCAGCATCCTCGCTGAGACAGGCAGAACAAGAATCAACTGGTCGATTTGCATGGCCCACTAAATGTCAAACTGAAAAGGAACAGACGATTCTCCTTCTTCATTTGGCCTTACCTGCTGAAATCGGCTTTTTGGGAATTGGTTTAAGCTTTGCAAACTCCACGTGTGCGCCCATTTGACTGTCCAAATATGCTGTTGCCCGGAATGGATATGGCATGGGAAATCGACAGTGTTGCGGAGAAACCTAGAGTCTTCTCCATCTTTCCAAGGGGCGTGTCTCAATATAGGGGACCTCCAAAATGGACTGCTCTTTGAACCCACCCCGAGTACGAAGCCTCAATTAAAACAGACACACCCGCGTTCAGTCCACGTGGTTGCTGGGTCACCAGCAACCAGCGAGTGTCTTTGCCACATGCCAAAGCGTGTGATCGGAAACCTCCAAAACCAAATGGTGTTCCTTTAGTTGTCTGTAAGCTGACTCCCACACGGGTACCGAGCCTGCAAAAAGACACGCAAAGAAAATCCCGAATGGGGACATGCTGATACGTGATGAGCTTCAAGTGCTTCTCACCTGGATACCCACCTCACTTGGCAACTGCTTACTGCGGATAGACCATCTGGGATGAATGAAACCTATGAAAAGTGGATGACAAACTACCTACCGAAAGGGGCAAAAGTTTGTGAATCACAGCTGGCGGCGATCCGGGCACTCCCAATCACGGTTTCTCCACTGAGGGCTTGAACGGTTCGCGGAAGGCATCGTGGAAACCACAACCCTGAGCCGCTCTATAGCCATGTCATAGGCATTTTCAGGTTTGGTCACCCCTAACTAATATTAAGGTGCACAGGCTCTTCCAAGAGGAAACTCGTCTTAAAGGTCTGCCCACAAAAGCCATGCTTGGTGCGGGTGCCCATCTGCTTTTCTTCTGAGAGTGGCAACTTGGGGAAGCTGCTTGGAGCTTCTTGATTCCTGGCCTCTCTTTCCACAACGTTCGTCTGCGCGGCCAGGCGTGGGCCCTGCTGGCACACGTCCGTCATGCACTCCTCCGTCGGAGATTTCCGCAAACCCCCGAATCCCTTTCTTCCATGTCCCTCTAGAAAACGGTTTGCATGCAGCTTTTGTCAATGGACTCCTCTAAGATATTACGAGAGTATTGAAAGAGCACTGACAACGGGAACAGCAGGGGTAGAACGGGTAGTCCCCAAAAAACGCATCCAAGCCTTTGACGCTTCGAGCGACGTATTGAGTGCCCGTTGCGAAGGGTGGATTCCTTTTACCCATGGCCGCATGACCATTTTTTGACTATGCTTGCAAGGGCAGACATTGGGAAGGGGCGAAGGGGCCCTGCGACCAATCGATTCCACGTGCATCTCTAGGAACCTTGGCGGTCCGCAAGTTTGCCCCGGACTAGACGCCTACCTTAAAACCTGATTTGCGTTGGTGCTAGTCGCTCTACAAGTATCACCTAGCTCAATCAAGCCAATCGTAGCTCTGGAAAACTCTGAACACTCTTATCCCTCTGGGAGGTAGGCAAATTGAAACAAGTTGGTGCGACCCCGGGTGGAAGCTAGAACCAACAGCCGCCAAGGCCGGGACACCTCAAACCAATGCACCCAGACATGGGGCGGTCCTTCCGTGAATTTTCAGGTAAGCAACTGGAAGCGCCAAACTCTTGTAGCCAGTACCTATTCGCCAAAGCCTTTAGAGGATTTTCAGTGCTTTCACCCCCGCCTGAATGACAGGCGTGTCACTGCTGTGCTGGGAGATTGAGCTGGATGGTGAAGGAGTCCAAGGTTTTTACACTTGCTGGCTGGTCATTGAAAGCCTCAATCCTGCCTGGTTATCCACTTCCTGCTTGTTTGCGATCAGTGGTTTCCCCAGCCGGCTTGTCTTTGCACATCGCTGCAAAAGTTGTCCCACGAGCCCATCCCACCGCTCCACCACGGACTGGTTCACCTTGAGCATGTCATGGCCTCGGCCAAACTCAGCTCCCCTCAAGTGGCCCGGTGGGAGTGGCTTCCAATGTCCCAAGAACCAGGAATTGCCCCCAAACCCTGCAAGCGCCCCGCCAAAAAGGGGGGGAGCGACAAGAAGAGTGGGTATACCTCCAAATGAAAGTTCCATCCTGTGAATATGTCTTTCTTCAGGCCCGTTTAAATGTTGATTTAGAGAGAAACCCAAAGGAACACCAACCCATTTCGTGGGGAACGGATAACTGTCAAGGCCTAGAACCGGCTCCATCCAAGCCAATGCTAGAACGGCCCGCTGCTCAAACGTGATTCTGCCTCCCTTGCTGGTGGAAGTGGCCGCTCTCCCAGCTGGCTGCATTGAGGGAAAATCCGGTGAGGCTCCTGAACCGTCCGACTCGAACACCTCCCAACGCTCTGCATTTCAAGTCGCAGAGATGGAACGCCGCCTTCTCTTGCTCATCCGTGCAGTCCAGGCCGCGCTCCGTGCCATCGTCATCTGAGAGGGGGCTCCGGAGGGTCGGGGGGGTTGGGAGGGGAGGGGGGCCGGGTGCCCAGACCTCCAGTGGCTATTGGGGGGGGAGGGTGCTCTGCGTACTGTTTTTTTGTTTGGAGAGGTGAAACAAAAAGGGCGACACAGTTTACCACAATTCTAGGGGTAACTTGTAATTATTACGAACAGGGATCCAAATCAATCCAGAAAAGAAAGCACTGGCCTGTTGGTCGACAGAACCATGGTTGGAAGGAGTGGGGAATCGACCCCTAAAATGTTTGCACATGTTTCGGTCAAGAGAAATGATTTTGCTAAACAATTACAGATATGTTGCACACTGATGATTCGAGAATGGAACATGCAACCAAACAATGACCCCCCCAACAAAGAACATGGGTCAATCAGGGTGGGGTGCCTATATATCTTATGTGGCTTTGCCACTCTCCGCTCCTCCTCTCTATCTCTCTATCTCTCTATATCTCTATCTCTCTATCTCTCTGTCTCTCTATCTTGCTATCTCTCTATCTCTCTTGACCCTGCACACCCATGCGGGTTCTAGCATGTTCTGTGGTTCTTTTGTCCCTCGCGCTAGCTTCACCTTTTGCTGGGGAGAAACGTAAGGGTGATCGCTTCGCCTTTTTGAATGGCCAAACACAAGTCTACTTGGCATTTCCATTCAAACCAGGCTGAGCTTCGTTGGTGGGCGGCTCCGCTTGTTTTCCAAAGGTGTCTCAGCACTTCACTGTTCGTCGTGGATAGTTCTGTTCTACGGGTCGGATCGTGAAAGCTTCTGCACAAGCATTGGAATGTTACATTGATACACGTTCATGGTGTGACACTGTGATGAGGCCCTATAAGACTGGCCCAAGATGTGGAGTATATCCAATCTGAAGCCGAGCTGTATCCTCCCCAATGTGTAAGGGAAAAATTGAACGATCTCTCACTTCCTGAGTTGATGGTTCACAAGTCCAAATTGTTTGTTTACCATTAACATAATCTTCCCAAAAACTGTAAAGTCCAGGAATTTGGGAAGTGAAAACATGGGAAGGTGGGTGTCGTAAAAGAGTTGGTGTACCCTGCGCGGAGGCAAAGCCAATCCGAGGCACGGTGGTTCAAATCCACCCCGTCCACGGTGATCTGGTCGTCGGCGCCCACCACTCCCTCGGCTCGGACAAAATCGAGCACGGGCGTCATGTGGATATTCGGGGGTCAAAAATATGTACCCAAAATGGGTTGACCTGGTAAGTGAAAACACAGACCAAAACCAGCGTAACCCCAGCTGCTTAAATTAATGGAGCCCTGGTAAGTGGAAACATGGAGTAAAATATGCGGTCCAATTCCTGGTGGTTTAATTTTGACCCATACCCAGATCGATATTTGTGATTTGAAGGTATCCATCAAGAGAAACTCAAACAAAATCCTGCCATGTGGAGGCAAACCCTCCAAATGGACCAAGGTGCCAGGTTGCAACTCCTAAAATGTGGGCCATGGTCATGGTTTCCCTTACTAGCAACCTTTACATTGTGAGTTACTTAATAGCCACGCCAAGCAATCCTGAGTACAGCTGAGTTTCGAGCTAGGGGAGGCATCGCGGTCTAGGAGCGTCGACTCATCGGGGGATGAGACAAATCAGTGGAATCCAGATAACGCCGATCTAAAAAAGACACCCCACCAATTCAGCCCAACATCTGGTATCCCCCCCAACAACGACACCCCCATTCACCCCACCTTACCGCTTTCTGCCCGAGCTGCGTTCGGGGTTCTTTTGCTCGCCTCAAGGAGCACAGCTCCTGGAGGGTCAGAGAAACGCCAAATGGAGTACTATGTTTTTGTTACACACCCACATAAACGCCCTCGGCGAATTAGAATGGGTTTTGTGACATCAAGCCCGCTGTAGTCCTGATAGGAGTAAAGCAATCAAGCCTTGGGATAGAGGAAGCCCGATGAATACTAAGAACCCCCACAACGCCCAACTGGTGGCTGGCGTGGAGTTTGCCCATCCACTGTAGGCAGAATGTATGTCCATTTAGGAACGCCTGGTAAGAACCTCGTCTATTGGCTACATGATCGATAATCTCTGGTTTATGGAAAGCCGCAGCCTTTGAAAGGGTCGAAAATGGCAATGGGTGCAGAACAGCGGGAAAGGCGCTGAGAGGGGTTCGTATTTGTGGCAGCGTGAGCAGCAACAACCCGTTCCCTGGATGCTTCTAGAACCCGGAAAACCATAATGGGCATGAGACACAGCTGTCAACATCATGATTTCACACCCAACACCCAAAAGATTGGAAGGAAGAAAGGATGCTGGATAACTGGGTTGGTCCAATCCTGCGTCAGTCATGTCTGGTGCCACAGAAAAATCGGCTCTGGACTCCGCGAATCATGTGAAGGCTTCCAAACCAATGGGATCCCTAAACATGGTCCGGCATTTCAACGGCATTTGGGTACGTATCAAAACAGGGGAACCCTAAAGATGTGTTTCTGCTGGTTTCCATTTAGGCCAAGCTGAACAAGGACCCTCCCCTTAACACAAACATTTGCATCACGCCTCACAGGTGTACAGGTGCCAAACTTCCAGTGAAACGAAATTCAGGCGACGCATGGCGACGCCATAAGAGCAAATGATGCAATTGAACGGGAAACTGTTGCTTTGAGCATTGCTCAGCCACGGTCCACTTTCGTGGAACCAAGACATAAAAGAAAGTTTGGTCAGTCCTCCCTGGTTCATACTGATGCGAGTGTACTTCGTGTCACGCTTTTGGCAGTGGTAGATGACAATTGATCGCTGTTCATTAAGACTACGGTCCCCCTCAGATGGTTGGTGTCCTTTTGGCTCCTCTCACACTCCAAAAAGGGGACCGTATTTCGTGAAATACCTCATGGTCTTTGCATTTCCCTGAAAAAGGGCACCCTCACAAGACACACACACACACACATGCACATGCGCACGCACACGCACACGCACACGCACACGCACACCCACACCCACACCCACACCCACAGACACAGACACAGACACAGACACAGACACAGACACAGAAAGAGACACACACACGGAGACACACAGAGACACACGGAGACACACAGAGACACACATAGACACACAGACACACACACAGACACACACAGACACACACAGACACAGACACAGACACAGACACAGACACAGACACAGACACAGACAGACACAGACACAGACACAGACACAGACACAGACACAGACACAGACACAGACACAGACACAGACACAGACACAGACACAGACACAGACACAGACACAGACAGACACAGACACAGACACAGACACAGACACAGACACAGACACAGACACAGACACAGACACAGACACAGACACAGACACAGACACAGACACAGACAGACACAGACACAGACACAGACACAGACACAGACACAGACACAGACACAGACACAGACACAGACAGACACAGACAGACACAGACAGACACAGACACAGACAGACACAGACAGACACAGACAGACACAGACAGACACACACACACACACACACACGCACCCACAAAAAAACACACAAACGACAAGACGAACAGGCCATCCCTAAACGGGCGAAGAGGAACGACAGGAAGTAGTTGGAAAAGAGGGAGGAGAAAAAGAAGGAAAGAAAGAAAGAAAGAAAGAAAAAAAGAAAGAAAGAAAGAAAGAAAGAAAGAACGAAAGAAAGAAAGAAAGAAAGAAAGAACGAACGAACGAACGAAAGAAAGAAAGAAAGAAAGAAAGAAAGAAAGAGAGAGAGAGAGAGAGAGAGAGCGAGAAAGAGAGAAAAGGAGAGAAAAAGGTCAAGATGCGTATTTAGGGCGCCGCAGCCCGCCCGGGGAAAGGAGAAAGGAAAGAAAAGGAAAGAGAAGAAGAAGAAAGAGAGAAAAGAAGACAAAGGGTTCGAGATGCGTATTTAGGGCGCCGCAGCCCGCCCGGGGAGAGGAGAAGGAAAAGAAAAGAAAAGCAAAGAGAAGAGAAGAAGAAGACAAGGAAACAAAAGGAGAAAAGAAGGAAGAGGGAGGAAGGAAGAGGAAGAGGGGTGTAGTATGCGTTTTTAGGGCGACGCATCCCGCCCACACAGGCACAGAGGATGAAGACCAAGGCTCGAGGAGGAAGACGTCGCATTTTCACACGGGGGCCAAGAGGACGGACGCGAAATAGCAACGGAAGGGGAAGAAGACGTCAAGCCAAACTACGTGAGGAAGAGGAGGAGTAGGAACAGGTAGACGGAAAAGAAGACGAAGACGAGGAAAAAGGTGAACGACGCGAGGACAACCAGCCCATCCCTAAGCGGGCGAAGAGGAGGAGGACGAACGCGCGGGTCACGAAAGGCAGCAAGAAGAGAACGGGAGGAAGGAGAAGCCATCCCTAGACGGGCGAAGAACCAGAAGACGGACACGCGGAAGACGAAGGCGAGAAAAGGTGAGACGTAACTATGAAGAGGCTGTCTTCCCTTTAGTGAAACCTCGTTCCTGCTTAAACGTGAAATTCCGCTGGACTATGATAAGAACGTTGAGGTCAAATTTTCCGGCGAACCGGCCCGGGGTCACACGATGGATACACCCGAGGTTGCCCCAAGATGGGGTGATCACACTTGAACTCCCGAGGGAGGGTACTCATCAAAGTACTGTATGGGTCTTCGAGTAATAGTTTCGGCTCACAGTCACTTGGCTTCCGACTAGCAGCGAAAACGTTACAAATTCAACATAAAGCGCACACACACACAGCGGCAGAAAAAGCGGCCAACCGGACTTTCATCAACATCACTTCACAAGTGCAGGTACACGCGGATGATCAGTCAGCGCTTCCCCCATGGTGGTTAGCTTCGTTGGCACAGGTCACCACCATGGGCCTGTGCCCCCTGCGGTAGTAATCATAACCAAAAGTGGTGGCAGGGTATTCTGCCACTCCGCACACACACACACACACACGCAAAAAGGCTAAAAGGCTAAAAGGCTAAAAGGTCGGTGCCTTGGACTGAGCCTTTCATTCCTGCCAATCTGGACTACCGCCCGCTCCGTGTGGCTTCGGTGGCACATCGTACCAGTTCGAGTGGATGTTTTCACCTAGGCCAGGCGGCGGATGCCAAAGCTTCGAGCCTTTGTTGTTGTTTGCCTTTCCCACAAAAAAGAAGGCTGTGGGACTGTACATGGATCAAGTTAGTCGAGGTATTTCCGGTGCCACTGGGCTGTTGGGCATCTGACAAATGGCTTGGAACTCGCGGTGGCACGTCTCAGGACAAGGGTGACTTGGGCAGCAGCTCAACTAGGCGATTCAAGTCTGCCAAGTTCCCAACTGAAGTCAACTAGGCAAACAACCCTTCCGACTTTAGGACTCCATCCACGAGGAAAACCTCGGGTTTTGGGCTTCCCTCACTTGAGTTGACTAGTCAAAAAGAAAGTCTAGACTTCCTTGTTTGCTGCTAGGATGGTCTTCCCAAGTCTAAAGTCCAACACAAGGATTGAGTTCCCCTGACCCTGGGACCAGCAATTGGCCAATCCAATCAAGCCGAGAATCCATGAGACACCCGAGTGCCCCCGTTGATGACCTTGCTCCACCAACCGTTCCGGTCGTGGACGTTGGGATTCCTCTTCATCTCGTCACCTTTTCACTCGACTCGCCGGAAGGCTCGAACGCTCGAGGAGCAAAGCGAACTCAGAGTTCGTCAGCCCGGAAGCCAATAAACGATCAGTCACAATGAAAAACTCAGCACAAGGGTCCTCCACCCTCCAACAGTAACTGGGTTTGATGGCGGCTCAGGTGCATTTGAAACTTGGCCTGAAGGACCAAAAGGCTTGGCGCCCACGACGACGGCTTCAGATTTCAAAGCAAGTGACGCATTTGAAAGCGAAACCGTTGATCTTGATTTGGCCTGGGTGGCAACTCGGCACTTGTTGAGCCTTGCATGTGACAGAAAAGGCCGGCCCCCCTAAGAAATATATGTTGTTCCTGTTACCCAGTACGTGCTTTCTTGGGTCTCTCAGCTCTGAGACTATGACCTTCCAATACATGAAACATGTTCAAGAACATATTCAAACAGCTTCTGAACGTTTTGCGCATGTGCGTCTAACAGCCCGATGCGTTCTCAAACTATTACGCCACGCCTACTTGTTGGTTCTCGCTCGAATTGTTTCGGGTTTCGGGAACAAAGCTACAGCGGATGCACGGAATCCACTTCACCAGTCGGGATGGATGAAACCCGATTTGACTACTGGGATAAACCACGTAATCCAACTGGTGCAAAGTGAGTTTTGTCCATCCACAATAGTACCCATGGTTGGTGTGTGTGTGTGTGTGTGCGGGTTCACGGAAAGCTCCAAGAAAACCACCACTTTGGGGTCCTCCTAGTTTGGCACATACCCCATATACAACCTAATATAACTCTCACTTCTTGAGTGACTTTGCTGGAAAGTGTTGCGTGTCGCTTTTGAAGTTAGTACCCGTATTTGGGTTCACCCTTTGTAGAGGTTCCTATCGGATTGCTCTGGCCCGGGCTGGCTTGGTGTTCCCTCCCGGAGAGAGAGCTGAGCAAGGCGCTGAAGGAGCCATCCATGTTGCCAAAGTCCCCGGACTGGCCATCGATCTTCCTTAGAAGCGAAATTGCTACACAGTATAGTACTACACATACTACAGTACTACGTGTGTGAGTAGGAGTAGGAGTAAGAGTAGGAGTAGGAGTAGGAGTAGGAGGGTACTACACACACACGTCGTAGTATGTGTAGTAACTCTCACACATGGGTTTGAGTTCTATCTTTGGTGAACATCATTTAGGAGGGGATTCGTGTCCAACCATTTGGGAGGTTTCTCCTGTTTCATATGATTTGCCACATGAGTCTATGATCATGAATCAGCATCCTCTGCGAACTGCATTTTTTGCACTCATGAAGCCTGAAATAGGGGATCCCCAACCTCACCTTTGCAAGCTCGTGTTGCCCTTGAATTGCCTTGAATTGGTGATCCATTCAAAGTGACTTTGAGCTTTGACCCAGGAATGCGATGGAAAGTGATGAGCACAAGTCGACCGTGACGATCACCCAGATCCTGAGTAGATCTCCACGGGAGAAGCATCGGCACTTTTGGGATGGAATTTAAAGGGATCCGTACCGCAAAAAGAGGGAAAAAGAGAAGCAATCCACTGGGTGTCTGGGATCAAAAACAAGCAGGGACCAGTGCCTGATTGCAGGATCTATCCGGACCGTGCCAAAGTCAAACAGGAACCTCATCTGATTTGTCAGGTGTTCTACTCAAAATCTTCAGTGGGCGTGCAAACGAGCCTGCGATTTCCTTTTTTAGAACAGGAGCAGGAAGGCCCTCAAACAAGACAAGCCCATACAAGACCAACAAGTATCCCCAGAAAATCACATGGGCGGATCCTTAAAATGAGATGACCTCGCCCCAAACATTTGTTTCCCAGAAAAACATTGGCACAACGGGGTTATCACCCGGAGTTTTGGGAGGAATTTGGGGCTGTTCCCCTTCTCGTTCTCCCCAAACCAACATCAAACTACCAATATGTTTGTTTGTTGCTTACATGTAGGATTTGAACCACAAGCCCTTTCCAGCTCTCCAATGTGGCTGTCCTTGCCCTATGTGCATGACATCTAAAACTGGCCCAATGGAACGGTACTGTAAGAGCCTAAATGATTACAAGCTCAAATTAAGCCGTGATCAGAGGAGACTACTTTGCCACAATCATTTAAAATGTACCCCCTTTGCACCCAAGCCCAGGTTTCCCATCAAAGGAAAACCAATGGTTGCTTTAAGCCATGGCAAGATCGCTCAACCCGTTGGTATTCCCCCTCCCGCGTTCTTTGTTGGGGTGGTTGAGGGGTAGCATATCACCTACCCTTGGCCTCAGGGAAATCAAAAGGATGTTTGTTAAACCACCTGAATTATATACCCATCCTTTAACAAGGTGCAAGGAATCGTCCAACCTTCCATTTGCGAGTCCCCTGGAAAAATACCTCTGCCTATAGCAATGTATGCCCTTTAAAACCAACAGGAACCAAATCCGCTGACTTCGTCTTGCCAAAAGGGGAGGCGAACAGGAAGGGTGGCAAAAATCGCAGTAAGAATCCGCGCTCCAGGAACAGCAAAATTAAATACGTACCAAATATGTGTGTAAACACATATACGAAATATACAGGTATACAGCGCGCTCGCGAATGAAAGAATGGTGCATGGATTGAAGGATGGAAGGATGGAAGGATAGAAGGATGGAAGGATGGAAGGATGTAAGGATGGAAGGATGGATGGATGGAAGGATGGATGGATGGATGGATGGATGGACGGATGGACGTTCGTGCGTCCACAGCAAAAACGTCTGCGTCGGCTGCGTCGCCGACGTGCTCGGGAGGTCCTGTGTTTCGCGCATCGCCTGCATCACCTGTTTCACCTGCGTTTGCGTGGCGCCCGAGGCACTCCTGAGTCAACGCGCGCCGCCCGCACCTAACCATCCATCCACCATCCACCCATCCATCCATTCAATTAATCTTGCTGCGGTCTTGGCAGCGCAGGTTGATCTTCGCAATGCGCAGGGCAAAACCATGTGTTTCAAGGGCAATCCTCAACTGTCCGCCCATCCATCCATCTGTGCATCTGTCCATCCGTCCACCATCCAGCCATCCATCCGTCCATCCATCCAAGCCCGCACGCCACGTGTCTGAGACGCACCGCTGCGGTCAATTTCACTGGCATGCGAGGCGGGCATGCGGAGCAGCAAGCAAAACACATTGCAGCAAGCGTGGAAGCATCCCTGTGGGACAAAGCCATTTCTCCTAGCCGTAGCAGCTTCTCCCATCAAGGCGAAGCTTCCGCATGGCAATGACCAAATCCACGTGGTGGTTGTAGCAGTTCACCTCCAGGTCCTGAGGTGTTGTCCCTTTTGCTCCGAGAGGTGGCGGACAAGGCGGAAGGAACAAAGGACTTGCACAAAAGGGAAAGAGACAAAAAAAGACGAAAAGCAGAAAGATGCACGGAAGAAGGAAAGGGCAGAGAAGGGGAAGAAACTAGAAGAATCACGAGTACAAGAAAAAATAAGGGTGCTACAGAAGTTTGAGGAAGAAGGCGACTAAAATACAGAGAGAGAGAGAGAGAAGATTCAAGAAGAAGAAGAAGAAGGAAGAAGGAGGTATCCACATGCGACATGTGTTGCGGTTGTCTGCTCTTAGCCGCAACAACAGCACCCCCTGCGAGAGGGGGGCCAAGTGTTGTTTACAAAAAGAACGGGATGCATTCTAAGCACTGGCCCTTCCGTGCGTGAAGCAGGGGAAGCTAAAGTCAAGCCTTTGCGCATGCAGGCTTGAGGGTTTGCGGTCTATGCTCGAAATTGAACCGGCTGATGACACTGCCTTGATCCTCACTTTGGAGCTTAACCGGCAAGAATCAACTGCAGCAACCCTTTTGGCTCCAAGCGCAATGCTTCCTCGCTCCACAAGCGGCCTGGCCACCAACAGCTTTAACCTTCATCTCGCAAATAAGCTCGCATCAATCGTGGGTGGTCAAGATGCGCCATCTCTACATGCACATGTTTGAACTTGAATATGGTTTCGTCCAAATCGCAATCTGCTACCTCTGAATTGGATGGTTCCCCTGCCGCGGTTTCCTGCTGTAGGCCATCCAAAGCGGGGCTTTCCAACGAGGTACGTCAAACTCAAACTGCCTTGAGAAAACCCTCAGTTGGGCAAAAGTTAATTGGAAGCCCCCGCAAGACTTGGCTCCACAAAAGATACATGAAACCCGACCCAACCCCGGAAGATGATCGCTCGCTGGCGCAAGGCACATCCTGCCTGTTGGCTAGGTCGTAGATTCAACTAGCAAACGGCCAGCTACCCAAATGCCAAATTGTTTCGCCAACACAATAACCCACTATGTTTAGACTTAGACAACTAATTCGCACGCGAACAGCGCAACCAGCAAATTGAATAAACTTTGTTTGCCACTCCGAATTGTTTAGTAGGTTTACGATTTGCCGGGGAACTTGCTAGCCTGACTGTTTGTAAACTCATGGGAATTATTTGTTGCTGTTGTTGTTTGTGTTGCTGCTGCTGTTGTTGTCTCCGACGTTGTGGCCTGCGGGAAATTCAGCAATGTCCGCTCAAACGGATGCGATCGACTGTGTTCGATCCCCACACTGACACTTTCGTGTGGCCCGCGCCGAGGATTCACCAACGTCCGCTGAAAAGAGTACAGTTTGACACACTCGTGCGCCCTCGACCGCGCCCACGCGCGCACGCAGGGCCCCAAATAATACCCCAGAATGGTAACACGCCCGCTCGACCGCTTCGCGTGGTGTTGCTTGCCAGCTGGCCGGCTGGCCGGCTTCTGCTTGCGCCTTTCTTCTCGCTTCGCAACGGCAAACGGAAGCGCCAGCTTTTCGGTTTCGCGGGCATGTCACCAGCGCTGGCACTGCCAACGCAGGCACGCCTTTGCTGCCCGACGCAGCGAAAAATGACGTTCGAAGCGCCCGACAGGAGGTAGTTTTCGGTGGCCATGACAGAGCCTCGTGGCACAAAAGCCCTGCCAACTTGGCGCCATTCCCGGGGAATTGCCGAACAATGTCGTCGTCCTCGTCGTCGTCGTTGTTGTTGTCGTCCTTGTTGTTGTCGTCGTTGTTGTCGTGGTTGTGGTCGTGGCTGCGGTTGTTGTTGTGGGTGGCGGCGTTGTTTATGTGGTGGTCCTTGGGCTTCTTGTTGTTGGTTGATGTTTGTTTGTTTGGTGGTTGGTGGCTGTTGGCTGTTGGTTGTGCATTGCCGTCGGTTGTTGTTGGTTGACGGTTAGTGGTTCGTGGTTGGTTGGTGGTTGGTTGGCGGTGGTGGTTGGTTGTGGGCTTTTGGTTGTTGGTTGTTGTGTGTTTGTTGTTGTTTGCTGTTGGTGGTTGGTTGTTGGTTGTGCGTTGCTTGTTGTTTGTCGGCTGTTACTTGTTGGTTGTTGTTTGTTGTGCGTTGTCCGTCTTGTTGTT